GGTGAAGGAAGGGTCTCCTTGTGAGAAGGAAGCAAGCTGAGTCGAGGATGGTCCAGAAAAGGTAAATCAGATCAGGAGTCAATAAATTTCAACCTCTCTTTGGCCAGACTGGATTGAAACTGGAGTCAGAGGAGAGAAGCCCAGAGGCGTGGCTTCAGCTTCAACCCAGTCTCGAGGCCAATTGGCTGTGATAATACCATTACTGGACCATCCTGCAAATCCACTCTGGAAAATTATATATTTATACATACAGACACATCATTGTCCAAACTATGATGTGTTTTTGCTTTGGAGTATCTACGGATTCAGTGAAAGAATACAGCAGAATATTTGACTTTTTAAATGTTATATTTTTTCTATTCTAAAATAATTTGAGATGATAATTATTTTTCACTGTTTATTTAATGAAGCAAAATATGGGTGATATATAAAATAGGTGTGCTGCACATGTGACCCTTGCTGGAAAAAAAATAACTCCTTTTTCAGTCATATAGATGATATCATGATGAATAATTTACCATCTTTTTTGTGAAGGAGTACGTATTAGATTTGACCAAGCTCAAAACCAGATTCAGTGGCTTAAGAAAAATATGTGACCCAGGAAGCAAAATGAGATTCCCTCTGAAATGTCCAGATCATAAAGCTACATAAAAACAGATAGTCTGATCACACACACACACACACACACACACACAGACCCACACCAGAGAGCACAGAGAGAGAGAGAGGCAGAGAGAGAGAGCGCGCATTAGTATGCTTTTGATTTTTCCATAAATGGAAAAAGCCAGGGCAGGAAGAGGGAGAGCGATGAAGTGACACTAGCAGTCTGCTGATCCTTGAATTTGCTGCCTTTCCAGTCATATAATGTTAGGGAAGGAACATTGTGTCTCATATTTTGATGCACCTGCTTTTTGCTGTTGGATAGTTTGGACAAGGACAATACAATATTTTCAAATTATGAGGAAGAAGAACTTCTGACTCACACAAAAGTGACTGTAGTAGTACTTCTATGCTATTCCTTAAATTAACCTGCTTTTCTTTCCCCTGGGAGCTTAGAAAACAAAATAAAGCAAAAAAAGAATCATATTAACTTCAGTGGCTAGATTTGCTTAAAACAGTAGCACCTTTTTTCTGAATCACATTGTACGTATGGTATAGTCATGCATTTATTTGCAACACTCTTCTCCACTTCTGTGTGGGACAGAGGACTTCATGGAAGTACTGCTTCATGGGGCTTTTGATTGATTTGAACATAAAACAAACATTTGAAAAGATGCAGTATGTCAGTGAGAGTGTGATTGTTTGTGGCTTGTCTATGTTCTTGATTTCTGACATTTCCTTCCTTTTCCCCTCTGATGTTCAAAATTTTCTCCAGTTTCTAAAAACTAACTTTCACTTATTGTAATTGATTTGTCTTGTGTTTCTTTCAGAATACAGTTGTATTACCTATACCATTTCACCACCAGCACCCTAGATTAGGTTTCATTTGGAATTAAGTTCTGTCTTAATTTTTCTAATAATTATTTGTTGGTGTTAGGAATAGATTATAATTATGTATGTAGTGTTCTCTTTAACTACATTCCTTTTGTGACTATGAGTTCCTAATGTGTTTATATTGTGTATAAACATTATGTGACACAAAAAGAAACTCCTGAGAGTGATTTAACTTTACTGTGAATAAAAGGGACTAAGGTATAGCATGATTCTTTACATGAAATCATGCTGAGGGCAAAGCACATAGTAAATGATGTAAAGATAACTATTATTTCATATTAGCAGTCACTCCGGGTTTCTTCTGACAAAAAAAAATAGAATATTTACAAGCAAAAAAAAAAAAAAAATCCAAGTGGAATAATTCTTCCTCCAGAATCCCCCACAAAATAGGGCTTATTGGAGGGGGGAGCAGTAACAAAACTAAATATCTGGGAAAATAAAATATCAATCTATTAAAGTTCTTTCGCTGCCCCCCCCCCCTTCACCAAATCAGCTTTGATAGAACATTACACAAATATCTGTCTCTGGAATAGCAAAACTCTAAAAAAAACCACTCTGTCCTATCTGGTGCTTAGAAATTGCCCATGCAACAATTGGAAAGCTTAGGGAATCCATGTACAGATAATCCTCGAGTTATGACCCCAGTTGAGCCCAAACTTTATGTTGCTAAGTGAAACATTTGTTAAGTCAGTTTTGCTCCATTTTATGATTCTTCTTGCTACAGATAAGTGAATCATTGCATTTGTGAAGTTATTAACGTGGTTGCTAAGTGAATCTGGATTCCTCATTGACTTTACTCATCAGAAAGTCGCAAAAGCTGATCACATGACCCCAGGACACTGCAACCATCATAAATATGAACCAGTTGCCAAACATCCTCCGGGATTGGGCGCCCTATAAATCTATTAAATAAATAAATAAATAAATCTGAATTTTGATCATGTGATCATGTGAAAAATGGTCATAGGTCACTTTTTTTCAATGTTGTAAATTCAATTGGTCACTAAATGAACTGTTGTAACTCGAGAATTACACAAAATCTTTGAAAGAAAACATGAATCTGTTTTAATTTTGATAGCCTTTATCTCTATGAATGGAAATATTCAGTAGTATAAAACTATCCAATTTTGGCATTCGGCTTTACACCATACATCCATAATTCATCTGTCATCTTTTTCAAAGAACAGCATATATATTGCTACAGTAAATGTATTGGATATATTTTGTAGGTACGTTTCCCATCGCATTTCAGTTCAGATCTTAAGGATCTATTAAGAAATTTACTTCAGGTAGATTTGACCAAGCGGTATGGAAATCTCAAGAATGGAGTAAATGACATTAAAAACCACAAATGGTTTGCCACTACAGATTGGATTGCCATTTACCAGAGAAAGGTAAGTTTGTGTTTCTTTAAAAGGAATTTAGTGACAGAAAATGAATATTTCCCTGTCCTTTCTTATTTAAAGTTGCTATATCTGCTTTTACCTTAAAACACAGGTTATTTCCGATGTATTTTGGGCCTTAGAATCATAAGATTAGAATCAGCAAGTTCCTGAATCAATCGATCTTTAATATTCAAAAACAGAAGAGTTTCATTCCTTCCTCGCTTAATTGGAAAAATCGCCACCTGCTTCTTGATATCAAATGATTCAGTACAGCTATATTCTCCTTTTATTGGCTTCTGTGAAATACTGTTCCATGTATACAGATACTGGGTATTCTTCTTCACCTAAGTAACAGAGAGACCAAGATGATTCCTAATCTAACTGTCACCAAAGCAACAGTGAAATATTTTTTTAAAAAAGTTTTTTTATTTTTTCATTTCCATAACAAATAACCACATGTATACTATTACATAACCAACATTATATTATATTGTTAAATGTTTACATTGATTCATCTTACCATCAACCCCCAAAAACGATTATTGGCTCTTCTGCTGTCCATACACTGTATTTATACCCTATCCATCACTTTCTTCTCCCTCTCCTCTTTTTCCCTATCTCCTTTCTCCCCTCTGTCATCCTTCTCTTCTCTACTTTCCCCTCCTCTCTCCTTCTCCTATCTCCCCTTTCCACTCCTTCTTTCTCTCCTCCTCTTCTCCCTCCCTGCCCTCTCTCCTATCCCTCTCTTCTTCCCTATTTCTCTCCTCTACTTCGCCCTCTTCATCTCATTTACTTGGTGTATTTCAGCCTCTGAGCGAGCTCCATTTTATCTTGATGGTATTTATACTTCCATTTCAATATACATCTTTCATTTTAACATATATTCTCCTCCTTTTTTGAAAAAAAAGTACACGTATATAGTAATCATATTTTTAAACACGCGCACACACACACCAGCCTATTTTTGGCCGAGATGTAGACCTGGTTACGATTCCCAGCTATTTTCATCATTATATTTGTATAGTTATACATCATTACATGCCCAAAATTTGTAGTTCTGTCTTTATAATCTCAATAATTTTCCATTATAAGTATATTTCATGTTCCCCCTCCATTTTTCCATCTCTTGACTTAGTTTACCCTTAATTGTTTTTAAATAACAATCCTTACTGTTCAATGTTCATTACAATTCCATTATTCTACTATGTAGAATAACAAGCGGTCCACACCACACTTTGTTCATCATCTTAAGAGTTCTGTATGTGTCCATATTTAATATATTTTAATCTATACTTAATTGTCCTTCCATTGTCATATTCAGTCAGTTAGCAACTCAGTTTAATTATCATATACAGGAGTCTCAACTTTATATTTCCCATATAACACTTACTAATTTTCTGATTTTTTCCTAGTAAGTCTTTTGTTTCGCTTCTCTATTCCTGTCTTCTCTCTTTTCTTTGCTTTGACATGTCCATCCTCTTCAATTTTCCCCAAGCCACTGTCAAACCCAGTGAAATCTTTTATATTTCCCTTAGTTGGGGCATAATCCCTCCCTCTTCAGTTTTCCCTATGCCACTGTCAAACTCAGTGAGATCTTTTGTCTGGTTTTTATTTCCTTTTGTTGGGACACATCCCCCCTTTTCAATTTTCCCTATGCCACTGTCAAACCCAATGAAGTTTTTTGTCTGTTTTTTATTTTCTACCGTTTCTACCACTTCATTATCCTCCCCTTCTTCTTTTAACTTCCTCAATATCTAACTTCAAAATTCTATTTAGACTTGATTTAAATGATTTATGCATATTTTTAATAATTTCATGTAGTTCTTCAAATTCCCACTTTTCCATAATGTCCAGTCCCAAAATTACAGTTAGTTATGCAATTCTTATGTCAGAGTTCTGGTCCACTTTAAATTTAGCTAATTCAGCTAATGTGGAGAGGAAGAGGAGAGGGAACCATCTTGATCCTTTTGTTCTCCCTCCAGCAAAAAACTTCGTATTTTCCCAGCTTTTGATTTTTTTCCCCCCTTGTTACTTTCTACCTCTTGTTGGTTAGAGTTGCTTAAAATATATTAATTAGAACAAACTTGAACACAGCAAATCTCCTTGGTATGTTTCTCTTTGCCTTCTGCTTTTTCCAAATTCTGATTTATGACAATTGGTTAATTAAAACTTCCTGCTCAAGGTTTCACATTTCATTCGTTGCACAGACAAGATTAGTTTATAAGTGAGAAAATAGTGCTTTTTTCTTGATTTCCGCCCCCCTTGTTACATTCCAACTCTCATTAATTAGAGTTGCTTAAGATATGTTAGTTAGAAGAAACTCGAATGAAGCAAATCTCCTTGGTATGTTTTTAGCTTCCATTTCACCCTCCTAATCTCTTTTAAAGACACACTCCTTTCAAATCCAAATCCAAATTCAAAGCTTGTGTTTGCATGGGTTTGTCACTTCTCTGCTTTCTCCTTTCTGTCTCCAAGTTGTTTAAAGCAAGTAGTTCTTTTTGGGCTTGTGATTTAACCCTCCATTTTCCTCCTCCTTTCTTTCTGCCAAAATCTGTCCATCAATATTATTTATATTCTTCTTTGACTTTTCGAAATTCTGATTTATGTCTGTTGGTTAATTAAATCTTCTTACCAGGCTTTTCATCCCATTTCCTACACGCTCCTGCTCAGATGCTTTGGCCAGAAGCTAGCTTCTTGTGCAGCCATGTTGCCATGCTGCCTCTCCTGACGCCAATTCAGAGGGCAAATCTCCAACCTACAAGGAACCTGTTGCATTCCCTCTGAGTCTGATGAGATACTGCACCTTCTTCACCCCCATCCCACATGGAGGTTCTGATCCAAAAGGATCTTGGCATTGGTTTGTCAGACAGAGTTCATGTGAGGCTCTTCAGAGCCCACACCTCGCCCCATCATCTGTCTTGCTGAGGAACTTCCGATCAAATCCTAGCAATAGTGAAATATTTACTAGTATTTTCTGTGAGAAAAATTATCATTCTTTCTCTAAAATATTTTGGGAATCTTTAACTTTCTTAACTTACAATTCTTCTTAAATTTATCTTAAGAAATTATATTTCTTGATCTTTTGTACAGTAAGCATTTCTAGTAGTCATATGATCGTTTCAAAGTTCATAGGCTTGCTGTTTTACAAAAACGTTATTTAAAAGCCAAATCTGAAACATAATAATTTATAAAAAGAAGCTAGTTACAGAGCTATGCAGTGTGACAGTACAGCATAGCTGTAATAAATAATGTATTAATTATTTCAGGACAGGCTACAATTAACACTTGGGGTTTTATTTTATTTTGAAGGGAAAATTCTTAAATATAACTTTCATCAAAGAATGGAAACATTGTTCTCTCTATTCAGAAATGTGTTTATGCCTATAACCTTCAAATAAATGCAATTTTTAAAAAAAATGAATTGGCATTACCTTTGAAAACCCAATGTCAAAATATGGTTTATACAATTGGCTTTTTCATTTTTTGGAAATGTACTATAAGAGAATTTGACTATATAGCTACACCTTTACTTTTTTCTTCTTTTTTAGTTACAGGGCAGTCCTAGACTTTGAATGAGGCATAGAGAGCCACAATCCCCAAATAAGCAGGATTAGAACGAACAAAATTTCATTGACTTTGAATTTAGTTCAGTAACAATATACTCAGTTACAATATTTGGCAACTTTGGTGAACTCCTAGAGTCAACAATTGGGCATACCTATAGTAAACCATAGGTTGCATGGAGGGCAAAACCATATATGGCAACATTTAAATTAGCTTCTCTTCTTTATCTTATTATCAGGATCCATTTTGTGCAGATGCAAGTTTGATGAGTTGGTCTTTACGTCTGTGAGGTTTTATATTTCTGTAATAATCCTGTGCATTCATAAAAAGACCTAGTTTCTAGTAGTAATTTACTCACATGAGTAAACTAAATGTGTTCAGCTTTTTTAAATTAATGCCTGGAATATATAGAAAAATCCCCCCCCCCCCAAAAAAAACAGTCTTTGCTGCAGATCTTATTAGAATCTGCTTTTTTGGCCATTTTAGACTCACAAAAATCACTTTTTGTGTATAACACAGCTGTAAATAACGTGTAAGAATGCAGCGTATCAACAGTACAACCAATAAACAATGATTGATTATAACAGATCATATGACTTGAGTATTTGTGGAGATGCTACAAATTATTTTTCGACTGATCCAAGAAATTCTGCATTCTTTATCCTTCTTGGCCATGTATATCTGTTTCGTTTGCTTCTTGAATTTTCAAGACTTCATGCAATGTTCAACTATTCCACCTTTTCAGTGTATTCCACTGTCCTTTAATTCCCACCCTGTTTCTTCTATATATGCATTCTTGAAGGATTGGGGAGGGATGTGTCTGATAAATGTCACTTTAGTTCTTTCAGTCTTTTGGACCTTGTTTTTTTTTTCTAGTTTTCTGTACTACATTTTGCCTCGATTTTGCTACATTAATTTTGTTATTTTGGCAGTTTCCTGATATGTGTAGCTCCTTATTCACACAGTGGGTGACACAATGTATTTCTATTTGTTCTTTGCGGTATTTTCATTCTATCAAATAGTCCTTGTAATGATTCTTTTTGAAGGCTTTGTTTATTTTGTTTTAGTTCCCACAGTCTTAGTGTTTAATTTAATTAGTAATTAACAACTTTTCATGCTTTTTTTATTATACAGGTAGAAGCTCCATTCATACCAAAATGTCGAGGCCCAGGAGATACCAGCAACTTTGATGATTATGAAGAAGAAGATATCCGTGTTTCTCTAACAGAGAAATGTGCAAAAGAATTTGCTGATTTTTAGTACTTGTTGGAGGATAAGAGGACATCAGGGCTCATATTGGGGTCTTTGCACTCTGTTAACTCATGAAGTGGAGCTGAGACCATCATATGTCAAAACAATTACCTAGTTACTTCATTCCACAAAGCTGACTGAGGTCTTTATTGCCATCTTCCATGTGTGCAGGTTGCACCAACCCTTATAACTAGGCACAATTAAGCAAGCACGGTTTGTGCTGTTACACAGAATATAGACCACTTTTCCTATTTACCTTTTGGTTTCTATTGTTTCCTTTGTTTTCTGTGTATTGTTAATTTCTCCTCTTTTCTCTGACCCACTTTTTAAAAATGAAGTAGCCTTTTTCTCAAGAATGCTCCATTTTATTTTGAATAATGTATGTGTATGAATGAAACTGAAGGTGTTCGGGCTAAATACAAGTTAGACTGAAGTGGGAGATAAATGTTGCTTCTAGTTTGTGCTGGCCAATCCTTCTGTGTCCATCTTTGTGCGTGAGGCTACAGTTCATAGGGGTTCATTTTAGTGGTTTTTTTTCTCTTTGTTTACTTTGGTAACACAATCTAAACTTAGCCAACTTCAATAGCATTTTGAAAGTAATATTTATCACCATATGAGCAAATGCTAATTGACTTAAGGATCTCTTCCTGGAGACTGACCAAACCTATTTTCAAAATTGGAAAAATTGTGTAGGGTACAGTAGCTAGCCCTGTGCCTTGGTTTTTTACATTGCTGGCAGTTCTTCTCCCTGCCTCATAGTTTGTGTTATTTTCCTAGACAGTTAATATGCTAAAGCATACTGTGTCATAAGTAGCACAGTCTCAGTGAGCAGGAACAATTCTATCCAGTCTGGGCTTTGGACCATATTTAATCATGTTTAGTAACTTGCATCTAAAGAATTGACTATTTAAATAGGTTTTAAACACCTGAAAGCCCGGAACTTGTAAAAGATTTGGTCAGTATTGTTAAGAGACTAGGAGTGATTTTTAGTAATGTCAGTGGGGCTCCTGAAGTATTTCACATTTCAACCCTTTTTTTATTGAAGGGGGGGAAGCATCTTTTTTATCTCTTTAGCTATGAGAATAAATGGTTTAGCAAATTGAAAATTTAGTATTAAAATATTGATAAGTTGCTAGATAAACCTGGTATTTCTGTTAGCTGTGAAAAATAAAAGAAACAAATGCCAAGTTTTTATTCTGGTATACTATATTAGTAAATTCAAGGATGGAATGCTGCTCCAATCATGGTTTCTATCAGCAGCACTTCATTCATATAGAAAAGAGACAACGTTTGAAACTGCCACCATCTGTGATGTCTTCATTTCTAACATATTTTCTTTTGGTGAAATGAAATTTATGGTTGCACAAAGAATTGATTGGGTTGAATTAAGTTTCATATAATCTCATCTACTGACCTGTATGGATATTGCTGCCATGTGCTTGCTTCCAGCACTTTTTCAGACTTCTGTTTCAGTGTTTAATGATCAGTAGCTCAGCATATGTCCTTGTGCTTTTAAATTTATCCATGCAGTTTTTAGTTAGGCACTTACTTTCTGATTTATCCCAAGAGGGCCTATCTTAAGATGGCACATCAGTACACTTAGACTCATGTTTTATGTTCAATTTACACGTCTACAAGAATGAAGGGTTATTCTATCCAATTGATCTAAATTGCTAGGTAATCAATGGGTTTGCTACTATGCCAATACCTATAAGATAATTGGCATTATTTCCTTTTAATCTCTGTGACACTCCTTTAATGAAAACCTCTGTAGACATTTTTCACTCTAGAATAAGATGAATCATACAATCTTCTGCACATCTTTAAGTTGTCAGGCAGTTTTGCTAATCATTGTTAGTTGTTTGCCATCTTTGTCCACTACTGTCTGTCTATGTGCAAGACAAGCATATGAAAATCTGCAGTAGCAAATTTTATGTAATATATTGTCACATTAATAAATTAAATAATTATTTGTATGAAAAAGGTTAGTTTTTTTTTGTATTTCATCTAGACAGAGGACATGCTGTTGTATGCTAGCTGTATCCAATAAATTCATTAATTTGTTCATGGATTTTAATAAATGCTGCAGATCGTTTTTTTCTTTAAAAAAAAAATCTGGTATGAATTTTAGCCAGTAGTTTAATTGGGTAATTTTTAAGTATATGTAAATATGAGGCTTCATTCTGGATGTCCATGGAATGGATTCTAGCATGCCTAAGTTTTCAACTTTAGATGGACAATTTTGAAACACCTTTTTCATTCTTTTGATTTATGCTTGTTTAAATATTTTACGTTGTCAGAAATAAACAGTAAACATAAATCATAATAAGGGAGTAATAGATTGAATAGAAAGGGGTTGGGCAAAATATAAGGAAGTTGCTATTCACAGTGCATGAAAACACATTTTCCAGCATGCTGTCTTCCAGATATGTCAACAATCACTCCCTGCCAGCACTGGACATGCTGAAAAAATAAGGGGATTTCTGTCCAACACATCTGGAGGGCAGCAAGAAGACTGTGTTGAAGTACACATTTAGCATTGTGCTAAATGTTTCTTATCATTTTAAATATACAAAAGCCACAAGAAGATAAAGATGCCTCTGTCTAATTTCAAAAACAAAAAAACCTTTTCCATCATATGAAATACTGTATATTTGACAGTAGAGACTTGTTAATTTTACACAATTTGAGGAATTAAGTGTTGGACTGTATGGTATCTTTTAACTGTACTCTAGCTGTATGTAACTCTCATTTTCAACATAAAAAAATGTATCTCATTAAGTAAATTGCTTCTCTTTTTTTGTCAGCTGCATTAAAACCCTTATTTTTAAAATCCTTTAAGTATTTACTGATTTTTTTGAAAATAATTAGTTTGTTACAATAGTGTGCAATACAGTAAAAGTTTATATACAGAACTACAAATTAAATTATGTACAACACTGCATAAAGACTTTGCTGCTTTTTTATGAGATACTATATCTCATTGTGCATTCTCCTTTGCCATGGCAGTCAACCGTATTGTTTTCTGTAAAATTGAGTTTTATTTTGTGTTATACACTGCAGGTGACATATAATGTTAGGCCTAATTTCTATCTAGATAATCTCTTAACATTCGTAAGAACTGTGCCCATTAGTATAGGATTCCTTTTTAAAGGAAAGATATACATGTTGGTTTGTAACAGCATTTCTCAACCTTAGCAACTCTAGGAAGTCCACACATCTTAGAATTGCCAAGGTTGAAAAACACTGGTTTGTAATCTTCCAAATTGGTACTGGACGTGTATAAGCTTGTAAGTGGGTGTATATATAAAATTAAAAATGCAAAAAAAACATGGCATTAAAATTGTCTTCTGCATAATTCATACATCTTCCAAAAGCAGAAATATGTTACCAAAAGGAGAAAGATGGTACAAACTGATTAACCATGTTCTATGACTACCAAGATGGTCTATAGTTCATCTCTGAGACCATAAGGAATCTATCATACTTGCCATTTAATTGAGGTGTTTTTTTATGAGTGGGGGGAGGACTGTTTCTGGATATTTCTCAAATTGGATTCAAGCTATTTTTATCAGCATAATTCCAACTTCTCTTGCTCTTCCTGCCATGTTCTTTTTTCCTTGCATGTATATTTTCTCTTAGAAGGTAAGGAAGTTTTCCTTTATCAGATACCAGAGCTAGTTTTCCTGGCATCCTACTAAGCTTATTCAACTCCTGCATATTCACACATATTAATTAATATTAATACAATTCCAGAAAGTTTGTTTTTTTAATGATTTTTTTTATCTTTCACGAACGTTGTAGTTGGTATCAAAAGGCCAATCAACAAAGAGTATTTGTATTCTATGAAACACAAAACACTCTGCATACTTATCAGATCCTCCACTTCTATCTGCAGGGAGATGTTCTGGATTGTGATTGCACAATGCAGATTATGTCACATATTTATTAGTATCTGATCTGAGTATGCATTTCAGGAATCCCAATGTTTATGTTATGACATCACAACACGTATTTCATCCTTGTGTCATCTTGCTTTGCAGCCAAAATTTACGCCCACTTTATTTTGAGATAAAATAACACTAGAAACATACTTGTTGACAACATTATTTTAAGATAGTCCTAGAGTTGGATGAAAAGCCCCAACAGGGAAGTTAGTACTTTCTTGAGAATATAAAAAAAGCTTACAAAAACAACTTGGGTCAAACTTTTCCCCAAGTAGTAGCTGTCTGAAAAATCTGACAAGATTGGAATTCCACAATCTTCCAGAGTCGGATGAGAATTAATCAGCAGTTAAGGTCAAAATGGTTTGGTGTTGCCTTGGCTTTTCCTTTTGGTCTAAGGCCTTTTCAAGAAGTACTTGCAAACCATATGACAAGGCATCAAAACGTATGTCTGACCTTGCTGCTAGCAGCTTAGACTTGATAAAGAATAAAATGAGATTTGGAACAAAACAGTTGGCATTTAAGGAGCATGGTGAAGTACCCAGGCTAGAACAATCATTGGAAAGAGACTGGAGAGTAAACTATGGAGAAAAGAAATACCATAGCTGCAAAGGAGCACTGGATTTCTGCTTCTGTTGGAATGCTGATAACTGACGGTACTGCCAATACATGCTTGTCTGCTTTTAAGCAACCTTCACAGGCATAGTCCCGTTTCATTTTAGCTTGCTTAGATAGATTACGTTTTGACAAAGACATGAGTACCAATCTTAAGCAGAATCTCTTTCAGAACATCTCGGATTTTTAGAACATATTAAGGCCTATATCTCAATGAGACCAGTTAACAAAATATATCACATTTTTCTTATCTTAATAATCTTAGGAAGTGTCATCCTAACATAATCACAAGATACAGATTGTGTAATACGTAGAAACATTAAAGTTCTCTCTGCTTATATATGTTTATAGGGATATAATCTATTGCTATTGTGCCTAATCTAAATTACAGAAATGTTAGAATGGCTTTATGGATATGCAAAGCAACCCTGTATGTGTTTGCATAACAGCAGGTCCTGAATTTAGTGGACCTTGTACAGTGTAGTTACAACCATTGAATTACACTTTGAATTACACTGCCTCTCTGAGATGCCATGTATATCTATTGTTATCTTTTAGGGGACATTTTCAGCAGCAACGTCTCATCGTTTAGATCTCTTGTTTCTTCCTACTTCTTGTCAACATTTTTATAGATAGGTAGGTAGAGATTTTAATTATTTATTTTACAGATTTGGAAGAAAAGAACCAAACAAGCTGGACCACTGTTTTGTCCTAACTGCACAGCTTTGGAAAAGGGATGGTGCCTTGAAATGAAGGTTAACTATGATTTTTCCTTAACTATAATTCAGAAGGAGTGATAATAAAACACATTTAAAAATACAAAACCTGTCAGGAACAATATAAAACTCAGGGAATTTCCCATATTTGGCAGGAGCATACATTCAAATAATAAAGGTTTAATAAGTCTTGTTAAGTTCTGGCAAGAAGGCCCAGTGTTAATTTCCTCAGGGATCGTTGTTTTGTCAAACTGGTGTAGGGTGGGGTTGGCAGAAGAGCCTCGAGGTATTCAGATTGGAATTAGGGGAAAACCAGGTTCAATCCCATCTCACACAATGCTCAAGAAGGCTGGCTTGAGTCATCTCCCAGGGTTGCTATGCAATAAAAATGAGTGATGTATGTACAAAGAAATCCACGGCAGCCATAAACAGTAGTAGTAGTAGATCTCTGGATGAATACTGATTTGTATTTCAAGGAGAACTTGAATCCCACACACATTGTCATAGCAACAGTCAAGCTATTTATCCCACTCCCACCACCACCCCAACTTAATATCACCAGAAGGACTAAAATAAAGAAAGAGAAACAGAGTGAATAGATTAGTATGTGAAAGAAGTGAGAGTCCTTTCCCCTCAGAAAACAGGAGTTGTAATCTTCATTAATCAGTAGCATCCACAGGGGAAGTAAAAAAAAGTCAAGATGACAGAAGTATCCTACACCTCACCTATGTGTAGCGAGTTTACATGCTTTATAAAGAGACAGGGCTTTAGTAGCATACTCATGACTACCATCTTGAGTTTTCTGGGCCTCCTGCAGATGTCACCATTGCTAATTATAGAAAACTAAATTTAGATCTTGAATAAATAGTTAAACATAAACTGCAAGTATTACACTTAACAACAAAAAAGCCTTTTTGTATTCTAGGAAGTTATGAACGAAGACTGTAATAAGAAATGAAACAAACACTGTTGGAATAAAAGTAATGCCAGGTACTATCTAGCAATAAATAATTTTTATAAGAGCTTAGATGTGAGTGGAGCAATTTCTAAAACACATACATTTAATTTTTGCTCATAATGAAATTCTAAACAAAAGTTCTAATGTAAATTATAACCAGAAAACCTCCACAAGGGATAGTGTTCAATGTCTACTTATACATATTTAGTAAAGAGGTGCTAACTTTTGCTTTCCCTGGAGAATTTGGACTATTTGCTATGTAAGGCTACTCTTATTTAGGAGTAATATGCAGAGGATAGAGCACTTAAACTGTGATTATTCCACGTGAAAGCTTTTTTGTTCCACAAAGAAATATAATTGAAAAGAAATAAA